GGTTTCTCATGTGGAACCATAGAAGGAATTCAATCATTACTAATTGGTATATTTATTTAAGAGATTCCGGATTTTTCTTACTTCGTATCTTTTGGTCAAATCGAGTCAAGCGGCTAAGCCACAAGAAGTTTTAAACTCTCTATTCCATATCCGTTGAAACTAGTATTTGTGTGTTTCGGCTTGAGCCGTACGAGATGAAATTCTCATATACGGCTCTCAGAGGGGGAGTCTTTCTTGGGTTACCTATCTCAATAAAGTATATGATTGGTTCGAGGAACGTCTCGAGATTCAAGCGATTGCAGATGATATAACTAGTAAATATGTTCCTCCTCATGTCAACATATTTTATTGTCTAGGGGGAATTACACTTACTTGTTTTTTAGTACAAGTAGCTACGGGTTTTGCTATGACCTTTTACTATCGTCCAACTGTTACAGAGGCTTTTTCCTCTGTTCAATACATGTAGAATTATTACGTGGAAGTGCTAGTGTGGGCCAATCCACTTTGACTCGTTTTTCTAGTTTACATACTTTTGTATTGCCTCTTCTTACTGCCGTATTTATGTTAATGCACTTTTCAATGATACGTAAGCAAGGTATTTCGGGTCCTTTATAGAGAAGGCAGATCATAGATATTTGTAATTTATCATATCGGGGAGGAACAAGAGTCTTTCATTGCTACAAATATGGATTATTGAAAAATCAGGCATGTTATTTGGACACTTCTATTCAACTCTGAAGTATTGTTTATTTGATACGAATCGAATAGTTGAAGTATATTTTCCTAAAAGAGGATGGATTATAGGAGTGTGTGACTTGAACTATTTATTGGTCCATGCAGATATATGATTTTATCCGCCATGTTGGAATTGACAACCCAATGTGTCTCTGCATCCAACCATCACGTAAGTCCCTTTATGTAGCATAGGATAGGCCGGTTCGCTTGAGGAGAATATTTTCTATGATCATACCCGAATCATGTCATGCATGAACAGGCTCCGTAAGATCCCTAGAATAAGTGATGTGGAATCCAATGTTCTATTTCTTCCACTTTGTTTCATTTTTCTTTTTATAACAATTTTTAGTAATTTTCTTCTAATTAATTGCTAGTATTAGTATTTCGTATTAATTTGATAGTAATCTTAGTAAGTTTTTTACAGTATGTAGATGCATTCATTTCCTCTGCATCGACCCTGATCTATGATACTATCGGAGTGAAATAAGGGATCTAAGGAAGCACAGGGCTAGACTTTATTAGTAACAAGTAAAAATTTTTTATTTTTGTATGTAACACAATCGAGATGTTGTGGGGATAAAAACCAACCAAAAGACATGAATGAGACAATCCAAAAAGCACTTGAACATGATCAAATTTGTAAGCCTACTTGGATATTTAGCATTTCCTTGTTGCCAGAACTGAATTATTTACAATGAATCGTTGCAACTCGGGGATATGGAATTTGACAAATCTTTTCTTACATAGAGTCATTCTACATTATATATGTAGATATGTATGAAATATAGAAAGATAGATATTCTATGGACCTAGGACCTATTTATGTTCTATGGATCTCTTTCTGTAATTCTTTTGATTCTTGCTCGAGCCGGATGATAACAAATTCTCATGTCCGGTTCCTTTGGGGGATGGATCTACAATAATTCACCTATCCAAATAACAAAGAAACCTGATTTGAATGATCCTGTATTAAGAGCTAAATTGGCTAAAGGGATGGGACATAATTATTCTGGAGAACCTGCATGGCCCAATGATCTTTTCTCTCTTTTTCCAGTAGTAATTCTAGGCACTATTGCATGTAATGTGGGCTTAGCAGTTCTAGAGCCGTCAATGATCGGTGAATGATCCGTTTGCAACTCCGTTGGAAATATTACCCGAATGGTACTTTTTTCCCGTATTTCAAATACTTCGCACAGTACCCAATAAGTTCTTGGGTGTTCTTTTAATGGTTTCAGTACCAATAGGATTCAGTACCTTTTTTGGAGAATGTCAATAAATTCCAAAATCCATTTCGTCGTCCAGTAGCTACAACAGTCTTTTTGATCGGTACCGCAGTAGCTCTTTGGTTAGGTATTGGAGCAACTTTACCTATTGAGAAATCCCTAACTTTAGGTCTTTTTCTTTCTAAAAACTAAAAAATGAAAAAAGTCCAATGGATTGAAAATGAAAACTTTTTCTTAGGTAAATTGATTGCAAAATGCTTCTGTAGAGTGCCCAATATCTGTTTTACATCTTCTATGCGAAAATCTTCCATTTTCATAAGATCTTCTTGACTGTGACTCAAAAGGTCCTGGAAGACAATTCTGATTGGTCAATAAAAATACATGTCAATGGAATTCCTTTTTTGTTTTTCTTAAGATTAGTGAATCTGTCTTGAAAGGAAAAAAGGGGTAGATTCCATCTGTTTTCATTTTCCTTGAAATTCATGTCCTCTTCCTCTGCATGTAGAAAAGGAATCAATAAATCAATCAAATTACGAGAAGCTTCATAAAGTGCTTCGAGTGAAACTTCCATTCGTCCATATTTCTAGAAAGAGTATCTCTTGTTTTTCATTCCCATAAGAATGAATACTATGATTCGCATTTCGAACAGGCATAGATACAATATCTATAGGATAACTTCCATCGTGAGAGTCATTTGTGGATTTCATACGATATCCGCGATCTCTCTTGATTTGTAATTCAATACACAAATCAATTGGTTCTGTCAGGTTAGCTATATGCTGTGTCGTGTCAACTATTTCTACAGAAGGTGGTGAGATGATATCTTGAGCTGTTATGTATTTTGGACCCCTGACGCAAATGGATGCGTCCCTAACTCCATAGAGATTACTTCTCAATACAATCTCTTTCAAATTTATTAAAATCTCATGTACTGATTCTTCAATACCCGCTATCGTAGAATATTCATGCAGCACATTTTCAGATTTTGCACGTGTGATATATGTTCCTTCTATTTCTCCAAGTAAAGCCCTTCGCATAGCAATACCTATGGTATCGGCTTGACCTTTCATAAGCGGGGACAGAACGAAACGACCATAATAAAGACGCTTGCTGTCTACTCTTGATTCAACACATTTCCACTGTAGTGTTCGAGTGGATCCTGCTACTTGTTCTCGAACCATACTATTATTTTTCTTTTCTTTATGATTATTGGATCAGATCATTGAATCATTTATTTCTCTTGGAATCTCTTGAATTCTTATTTCTACACACGTCTTTTTTTAGGGGGGCGACATCCATTATGCGGCATGGGTGTTACATCACGTACGAAACTTAATAGCATCCCATTTCTACGAATGGCTCGTAATGCCGCATCTCTTCCGAGACCTGGACCTTTTATCATAACTTCTGCTCGTTGCATACCCTGATCAACTAATGTACGAATAGCGTTAAATGCCGCGGCTTGAGCAGCATAGGGTGTTCCTTTTCTTGTGCCTCTGAATCCAGAAGTACCTGCGGAAGCCCAAGAAACCACCCGACCTCGTACGTCTGTAACAGTTACAATAGTATTGTTGAAACTCGCTTGAACATGAATAACTCCTTTTGGTATTCTACGTTCATTCTTATTTGAACCAATACGTGCATTCTTACGTCAACCAATTTTTGCTATAGGTTTTGTCATATTTTCTTAGATCATATTCATAAGAAGAAAAAGAAAGAAGAATCAGAAATCTACAGAAAGATACGGGGATATCCATTTCATATGAAAACGAATCCTTTCTTCTTTCTTTTTACATGTACATGGGTTTTTCTTTTCAAAAGTTCTTGATTTAGAACTTGAGAAGGATTACCCCAGTCTCTGTTAATGTCTCGGATTGGAACAAATGACTATAATTCACCCCGCCAACGAATCAAGCGACATTTTTCACAAATTTGACGAACATAAGTACGATGCTTGTTTGAATTTGTTCATGTCCAGCGGGCCGAGTTCCAAACCTGCAAAAAGCTGCGCCCTTGTTTTGTTTTTGTGGCTCTCGAGTACTTTTATATGTAGTGAAAGGACTCGCTTTCTAGACGCCCGAGCAGAACCTTTTTAGTTATTGGTTAGTTCCTCTCGCTTTGCTCGAGTACTTTTAGTTATTGGTTAGTTATATGTAGTGAAGGGACTTGCTTATTATATTTTTCCTAATTTTTCACATTTATCTTAACATTCTCATTGCTATCACACTCAAGATAATCTTATATTTTCATGTATATTAATATAGATATGAAAAATGTAATTTAAAATTTTTTTATATATAATTAATATTTGACCATTCTATAATCTTTTAGGAATGCATATGCATATAAAGCTTAATAAATTTCACTTTTAAGCAATTTAGAATTATCTTGAAGACTTATTCATGATAAGAAAAAAGCTTAATTATATTTATCAATTTTTTAAATATAATTAATATTACTAAATTGATTGAAAATAAGGTAAATAAAATTATTTCATATAAGCAAAGGGATGGTGAAGAAAAGCACTAAAATAGAGATGCGGTCATGATCTCATAACTATTGATGGATGGACCAAATTGACCAACCTGAAAAACTAAAGCATTTAAGAAATTGGCATAAAAGAGAGAATTATCGAAGGGGAAATCCCTAAGAAAATTTCAACGAACATTCAAGTACATGTAGCTTCATATAGGTGTTATAGCAACTTATTTATGAACATTATAGGATCCCAATATTTTCAAAGCACTAATCTCAATGTGAAGCACAAGGGTTTCTTTGTGCATCAATATGCAAAGTGAAACAATATTTTTACTAACTAAATTGTTCATTAGTTGTGTGCATGTGACACAACAGTTATTTAATTAAATCAAAGTACCTGCTTAGTACTCATGCCAATGTCTAGGCTAATACATTTATCGTAGCATAATTCAAGCATAGCTTTAAAGATTGCACAAACTTATCAGTTGGGAGTCGTGACCATGTTGACAGAAAAAAGGTGTTTCGCAGTAAGGCATAATAAATACATAAATTGGAATGCAGTACCTTAACTTTTTTATGACTACCAATTAGTAGAAGGTTGTCTTCAAACATTATGCTAGTTATTATCACCTGCAAATATAAGTTAAACATTTCTCTGCCTCTTTAAAAATTAAAATGAAAAGCACACATATAGCAATACAACATGAAGATAATCACTGGAAAAAAAAACATCATCATAATCACTAGTCTTTTTCCTACTATTTGGAATCAACTTTACGAAAGCTTATTCATCATTCATCCCTAATGAGGGCTACAACTGATATTAAAGCTATTTTGTGCAAATTTTTCTTTTGCATTATATCTATTCAATTTAACTTACACATAACCTTCATGACACATACCAAATACACAAGTTCATTTTCCACTATCTTTAATATATGCTACTCTCATCATCCCTCAAATATAGTTATTTTTCAATCTATCAATATTCTACCTTACCGCAAAAGAAACATTTATATTAAAATGCTCATTTCTACAATGATTTAATTGTCAATCAATGATTTCTTTACTGCCAAATACTTGGATATAAACCAATATGATTGGTTTATAGAAAAAATTATAATGAAATGCACAAAAGTTTCTTTTTTGTGTCAATGCAATAAGTGCAATCTTAGCTTTATGGTGCAGAATCTTGGCCATTAAAAGAGAAGTATAATTGTGGGCTCCGAAAATTCGCACCTCGGCCTCCCGTCTTTGGGGGAGTTTTAACCGATTAAGTTTCAGGGTAAATTTTCCAAAGTCAGATTGGGTTTGTAGATAAGACACTACCTAGAGATTTCATCATCATTTTGGGAGAACTTTATGACTCCCATTATTTCTACATTACCTAAATCTCGAACTCAAAAACTTAAGGCATTGGGTGAATTTGACTTAAATCCGCACTCATCATGAACTTCCCTTTTCCTTTGCACTTGTTGTATCGCCAAAGCCCTGTAAAACTAGCTTCAATCACGATTTCATCACTCTGTTGTTTAGGGCTTTGAGAATTTGGATAGAAATGATGGCACTAGTTTATGATTCTTTTATTTTTGAGTATTAGAAAATGAGAGAGTTGGAATGTCCAATAGGTTAAGATTTTTTTTTTTTTCAAGGAATTGGATGATACTTCACAAACATCTCATGATTAGGGGCTGAGTCCTAGACTATGTGGGATATATGAGGCTAGGGATTTGATTTTTTTTTTAATAAAATTTAATTAATATATATATATATATATATATATATACCTGATAGAATACAAAGCCCTCTATTAACTAAGGTTGATTTAAAATTATCCTCTTAAATATATATCTATTATAGGCCTACAAAGCCCCGTTGCAAAGTGAAGATAAAGATGCTTGAGGTAGGTTGGGTAAACTACCTTTTATGATAAAGTAGACTGAAGTCATGAAAAGTGGGGATGAGAAAATCATGGGATCTTGATCGAGTTCATCATCATTTCTGCTACTATCAGCTCTACACTAAATGCGGTATATTTTCTCTATACAAATCCAAAATGTTGCTATTATAAGTCAAGTATTTAGAAACTAACAACTAGCCTTAATCGAAAGTTCTTTCTTGTGATTGATAGGGATAATTAATCATAAAATTGTCTTATTGTGATTGGTAGGGATACTTTAAATGATACATAAAATAATGATAAAATATCTGAGAAATGTCTTATCTAATATATAATTTTTCTTCTAAAAATTTAACCTAGAACCACACTCACAGAATAGCCGAGCACAAATTTTCAGAGCCCACAATTAGCTATGATTTCCCATGCTCAGATTAGTCACAGTCCTATAGCATTTCATAGAGCTGCACTGGTTTGGCGGCAATACCAAGCCCAATGCCAAGCTGAACTACAAATATGAAGAACCAGCAGATGATAAGTCCTTACTGTGCTAGTGTGAGTTTACATTTTTAATGGTATAGAATGATAATGTTTAAAGGAAGAAAGGTTCCTTTTTCTTAACGAATGTGAAAAAGGATTTGAACTCTTTGTAATGTTTATTAAAAGCAACAAAATGATTCCGGTAGCTGTATACTAGGAAGCTATGCATTTCGGAAAATGGGCGAGTATTTTCTTGCAACTCGAAACAAAAGGCACTGCGTTAGTATAAATGCTGCTGAACTCACGAAAATTGGTTCACATAAAATCACAGTTGTTGAATCCCGCAAGAAAAATGAAACTTGAAATGTTTACTCTCTCTCTCTCTCTCACTCACTCACTAAAATTTTAACACACAACCAGAGCCAATCAATATGAAAAATTCTAAGCATTCCCAAAAAGGCCAATCTTGCACTAAAGTAAAAACGTGTAGCAGATTTTCCACCAGTTTGCACGTGTTAACAAAAGCATCAAACGTTGAGTACTTGAAAGCAAACCTTTTGAGGGCCAGCAGCGTGAAGCTTATTACAAGCTTCCAAACTATCTTTTTCTGAAAGAATTCTGCAGAAGACATTCTGGTAAGTGAAATCATATCAAAACAAGAATATATAATAAAACATAACTACTTTATTGGCATATACAAAAATGTATAAAGTGAATGCACATAAATCATCATTATTAGCCTAAGGGCAATATTTTTATTCTTATTTATACATCAGATCTATACATATATTAGTTTTACATTATTGTTTATTCTGTATTAAAATAAAAAGCATACGTATGTGTACAATCACCTAAATATTTTCATATATATTTTCATTTATCATCATATACTCATCCAATCCATTTGTTGAATATGAGAATTTATTTAAATTTGCGAGCATTAATATGGCCATAAAAGCAAGGACCTCATTTAGAAATATTTCATATATTTTAATCATTTGATCAATTCAATAAAATTGAATTAATTAGATCAAATTAAACCTAACTTAGGGTGTTCCAAATTGTTTTAAACACTGAGTCAGTACGACCCCAAATCTAAAAGATCCCCAGGATAACACAACTCATGGCTGCCGACAAAGATCCTTCGATCAGGTTAGGCCAATTACCTCCTCTAACTAAGTAGACTAGGAACTATGATGACCCGCGACGATGGAACAATGGATCTTCATCGGGTTCATCATCATTCCCCTATCACCTGCTTTAAATATACGGTGATAAATTTGCAATCTTAAAAACCATAAATTCAATTTTAAAACCTAAAAACAACCACTACAGGAAAAAATCACTTATTACAGGCGGCTTGTTCCGACGGTTATCATAAGAATTCAGACGGTTTTGGAAAAAACCAGCGGCTTTTGCGGCGATTTAAAATCTGCTAGTAAAAACCGTGTAGGAAACCGTTTCTGGTAGTTTTACGCACCGGCAGTTTACTGACGGCCCGTACCGCCGGTAGTTTTCCGGCGGTCATAACGCTGGTGACCACCGGTTATTTACTAGCGGCATACCGACTGTGTAACCGCCGGTTTGGTTGGATATTTCTGGCGGCCAAACCGCCGGAATATCATCGGTAACAAACCGGCGGTTTACCGGCAGTCATAACCGAAGGAATTACCGGCGGCGCCACCGCCGGCGAATCGCCGGAGAACCGCCGGAAACCGCCGGTAAACCGCCGGAAACTACCAGCGGTAATAGTAATCTTCCGGCGTCTTATATTAGCCGTCCGGTATCGAAGTTTCCGGCAGCCAAACCGTCGGTAAGCCGCCGGAAACTTGTAGCATTTAAAAAAAATGACAGCCTCCCCTCTATTTATTTTCATCCTAAACTCTAAACCTGCACAGAAAATACAACAATTTTCACAAATATGGGCAACACGCCACTATAATCAATCACAACAATTATCACAAATATATTCATCAAAACAAATCAACTCATAATAAGTTCATAACCAATAAATAAGTCAAACCAAATAAGTTCATCCTAAATTTACACATAAGTTCATCAAACCAAATAAGTTTACAATAAGTTCATCAAACAAAAAAGAGTATTAATCTTCCTACGTGTCCTCGCTGTCTGATAATGCATGTGGCTGCTCTTACTCTTTCTTCTTTTGATTTTCATCTCTGTAGGATCGCAGCTTTGTCTGCTTCTCATTTTGAACATTTCTCATCTCTTCTATCTCTCTCGTCAACGCTCCAACCCTCTGGCTTACACTTTCTTCATCTCCACTACGATCATAAAATGCTAGGGTGGATTAACTGCCCCCATAAGCATAACCTTGTGAACCCAAGCCATATACCCTCCCCCTTTGCCTTCCTCCAACAACATCTGACCATGTATGATACTCAGAATACTGGGTCGATCCTGAAGATGATAACTTACCAGTGGACTGATGACTTTCCCGAGCTCGTACAAAATCATCCTGCGAGAATAAATCCATAAAATATATTGATATTAGAATGAGTTTTATTATAATAAATTTATATTCTCAAACTCCAAAAAATTATATTCACATGAGCCTTTTTATCCTTTTCATCAACCCACTGATGGTCAGCTTGATGTTGGTGAGTTCTCGTATGCAACTCCAGCGGTGTAGGCTCCCGACCAAGAAACTCTTTCTGAAAATAGAAGTTATATTTATAATAATATAAATATATTTATTAAACTAATTTAAAGCTTTTACAAGTCGTCGTCTATGTTCCGTATGAGGAACAGATCCACCAGCATGAAGAGAGTTTCCTAAACCCCCACAGTCAGATGCTCTGTTATGCTTATTCTGCTATCTTATTTTTATGAACTCAGGGCTCACCCAAGCTCTACTCAGATCTGCCATACGCCCTCTCCAATCCATATTGGACGCTGCCCGGACTTTCTAATGTCCGTGAACATGTCCATAAGACAGGTCAATCCTCTCCTCTTAAAATTTGTTCTGATCCTCGTGTTATACTCAGACAACCACCTAAATTCTTTCTGTAAAAAAATATAGTCATAACAAAAAATATTAATACAAATTAAATCAAATATTTGAATTCATGTCAAATAAGTATACCTGAAATTCTTCAAACCACATATCCCAAATTTTCTTTAGAATCTTCTTCCATGATAAGTAAGGAGCATCATATTTGTTCCTTATGATATTCTGAATCTGTGAGTAGGTCTTGAAGGATTGATGCTGCAGGTTAATGTTTTTGACAATAACATATAATATATCAAAATACAAGAAACTTAATAACATAAACTAAACTTACGTATCGCTCTCAGGCTCAATGTATTAACGCTTATCTGTTGCAGATGCATGATCCCCAACACCAACCTCTGCTGGTCTAGATGGTCCACCGTGTTATGGCTGTACAAGATATGGGTAATAATATGGGTGGGGGTAAGAAGGTAAGGGACGGTGGATGGACCAGTTTGTGATAATGGTGGGGGGTAATATAGATAGAATGAAGCTACATGTGCCTGATATGGAGAGGGAAATCGAGGACTCATCGACGGAGGAGGGAGGTACCCAGGAAAGGGTGGTGGTACAACAATAGGTGGATATGACTGATCCTGATCGTGCTCACTAGGGGACTACTGCTGACTCCTAGGTGGTGGTGGTGATGGTATAACTGGTGGAACGGATCTCTGCCCCTCACTTTCATCAGGCTGTCTAGGTCTGTTAGAATTAATACTCAACTTTTTTCGAGAAAACTTTAAGGAAAAGGATCTACGAGGAGGATCGTCACTTGAAGCCATATATATTAAAAAAAGCAATTAATAACATTGGAAAATCAATAATTGTTGGAAAGCAGAAAGTCTCTGTAGTACATCATCACCACTTAATCTAGATGGAGGAGGTGACCTCTCAACTCTGTTTTTAACGAATGCTTCCTTATTTCTTCTAAATTAATGATCAATTGGAAGGAACATACGATGACAATCAAACAATGTATTTTTCCTTCAATGTTTTAGTGTGAAAGCTTTAGTATTCTCAATGCAGTAAGGGCAAGTTAATATTCCTGCTGTGCTCCAACCAGACAACATACTATAAGCTGGAAGATATCCAATAGTCCAAAGCAATGCAGCTCTAAGGAAAAAATTTTGGTTTGTTGATATGTCATATGTGAGAACACCTTCTTCCCATAATAACATGAGATCACCAATTAATGGTTGTAAAAAAATGTCAATTTTTGCTTTTGGATTATGTGGTCCAGGTATTTTAAGTGTTAAGAACATGTACGGAGTAATCATACACATCTCTAGAGGAAGGTTGTATTGTGTTAGTATAACTAGCCAACAAGAGTACGGTGTAGCTGCTTGACTACATAGGGTAAAACCATCGGCACATAATCTCAATCTTATGTTGCGGTGTTCAGCAGCAAATGAAGAATGTACTCGATCAAAATGTTTCCACACTTCAGCATCTGATGGATGATAAATAACATACTGTTTGTTAATTTCTTCGTATGTCATATCATATGGCCTACTGAACTCATTGATGCATAGAGTCGTTGAAGTCTTGGAATGATCAATAAATAAAATAAATGAGAATATGGAACATCTTTCTTTTGACGATATTGTTTTCCCGAGTTTGTCTTAAACCGAGACGCATTGCAGGTGCGACAATAAACTTCTGTTGCATCACCTTGTAGTATAACATACAATCTATTGATACAACAATCAATTTTTTTAGCAGTGAGACCCAACTTGGATACTAATTTCTTCGTTCGGTACAAATCTGAGAGAATTAAATTATCCGTTGGATTAATTTCCTTCAGAAGACTAATGAAGTCATTGAAACAATCACGAGGATCAATTTTAATACTTAGCATCCTCACTGCAATCGGCTATTCCAAATGAGTTTTGCAACCGTCCCAAATTAATTTTTGAGTTGCATGTAGTAACTCAAAGAATTTTTAGTTTCTGCATTTGGTGGATCTTCCACACTAGCCCTTAAATTAGAACTTGCTACATCAAAAATAAGTTATTCATACGGTCTAGTCATTTGATCTTCATCAAATGTTTCAAAAGATGTGGATGGACCGGCATGAGTATCTCTGTGTGGCTCGTACTCATCATGTGAGGTCCAAATCCAATAGTATGTAAGAAATCTCCTACGATATAAATCAAGTTTCACATCATCAGGTATGAGGAATGCTTGATTTTTATGCTTCGAACATGGACATCTGAATATTTTATCGAACTTAAAGGAAGGCAGTTGAGATGCAACTTGAATGAAAGTCTCAACTTCCTGCATAAATTCATCTGTCAATCCTCTTCAACCCGGTAACAATCTGTTATACATCCAATATCTCTCTTCTTGGATAGTCATTTGGACATTGAAGCAAAAATATCCCTCCATAGTTATGAAATCAATTATTAGAAAATATGCACTATGAATAAGTGTACGTACTATACTTTCAAACAAGTGTACTTTAGTTGAATTGGAATGCATTGTAGGTCTCATAACTATCTCATATGATATTTATTGATTTAAAGAAAGCATATGATAAAGTTCCAACAAAAGTGATCTGGAGAGTTCTTGAAAAGAAAGGAGTTAATAATGCTTATATTCAAAT